CGGCGCCCCGGTAGGCGCGACGCTGGGAGTCAGGGCCCGGGTGCAGATGAGGGATGCTCGGGGGCGCGGGGATGGGGGTCAGCTGCTGGAGTCCTTGGGGAACGCGGGACTCAGACTTCTGGACGGCAAATGCAGGAGTCCCGTGGACATCCAGGTGTCTGGGTGACGGAGGCCCCGGGCTTGCGAGACATGGACCCCCGATGGTCCCGGAGGGTGGGGAACCGAACCGGGGCAGGAGCCCAGGGCCGTGGGGACCTAGAGTCGTGGACCCACCGTTCCGGAACCCTGAGGGACACCTCTGGACTCTGGTCGGTGGAATCCACAGGAAGCCCCCTTGGGGGCGCGTGACTCTACAGACCCCTTCCTTGGGCCTTGGTGGTGGGGTCTTGACACTGCGGCCCCCACCCCCGTCGGCCCCAGGACTTGTCCGCCTCCGTGCACGCAGCCGCGGGGCCCTTCCCGGTCCGAGGGCGCTGTCCGGCTCCTACCCGTGCAGGACCGCGGGGCTGGCGAGGGGACGCTGGGCTCCTGTTCAAGAACCAGGGATGGCCCTTCTGGGGTCCCCAATGCACCCAGTCGCTCCAAAGCCCTCCTCCCCCTCTCCAGCCTTTGGAGTAGATTTTCCTTCTAAATTCCCCCCACCTCCCGCTCCCAGACTGGGATTGGAGACAAACAAAATGGGATAAAGAGGAGGGAAGGGTAACTGGCAGGGCCCTGGGGGATCCACTGTGACCCAGGCAAAACCCTCCTCCTCCCCCGACACTGTGGCTAAAGGGGCCGCTAAGGCCCCTCTCCCTCCAGACCTCCCTAGAGCCCCCTGCAGGCTGTCTTCCTCCCCAGGGTGGGACACCCTGCCCCTAGAGGTGGCCAGGGCCTTACCCGGCTCTCCCTCTGCCTCCTCCCCGTGGGAGCGATGCAGGACCCAAATCCAAGCCTGTGGTGCCCTCTGCTGTCGCCTCCAAGAACTGCTCCCCTGCAGTTGGAACTGTCCAGCTTTTGTGGGAACTGGCTTAACCACCCCCCCCGCCCCCCCACACACACACCCTGGGGACTGAGCGGCAGGCCCAGGCCTGTACTCAAGCACTGGGCGCCCTGTCCCCTTCCACATTAGGTATCTGGCAAAGCTCTCTTGGCCTTCACAGGCTGAGCAAATCCAGCAGGACTTTCTGGGTGCCACTGGGCACAGAGGGGCCCTCAGCCCCTAGCTTGCCTGGCACAGGGAGTGAGGTGTAAGGGGCTCCTAAGAAGCAGCACCCTGGCTCGGTTCCAAGCATGGGGCACCAGCAGGTTCATGATCGTGGAGGGGATCCCGATGGGAGGAGTGGGTGAAGTCAGCCCGGGGGTCCTGGAAGGGAGCTGGGATGGCAGATGATGGGGTGTCCAAGTAGAGTGAGGTCAACGGGCCGAGTCTGGGTGGGCGTGTAGGAGTTGGCTGACATACAGGGAGAACAGTATTCCAGATGGGGCATGGCACATGCAAGAAGCCTCCAGGTGGGGTGCCACCAGGGCGGCCAGAGGCACGAGAAGGCCGTGACTGTCCGGCCGGGGAGGCGGGGCTTTGTGCCCATGGAGAGTGGGAGCGGGTTTAGGGCACTGGGAGGAGGCAGGCCCAAGGTCCAGTTATCAAGGTGACCTCTGGGGAACACCGAGCGCTGGAGTGGGAAGGGTATGGGGGGACACGGAGGGTGCCGGCCCTAACTGTGACCACCTCCTTCCCAGAACCCATTCCACCTACAGCTGCACTGGGCCAACCCCCTGGAGACGCTGCTGGACGTGCTGGTGTCTGTGCTGGAGGTGCACGCCTGGGAGGACGTCGGCCTGGTGCTCTGCCGTGTGTGGGACTCCGGTGGCCTTGTGGCCCTCTGGACAAGTCGGGCTGGCCGGGCCCCCAAGGTCGTGCTGGACTTGAGCCGACCGGACACAGGGGACGCAGGGTTGCAGGCCCGCCTGGCCCCGCTGGGGGTGCGGGCCGGAGGATGTCCGCGGCCGCGCGCCGCGTATGCGAAGCGGCCACAGCCCGTCGGGTGCTGGAGGCTGCGCCCCGTGGGCCCGGCTGGCTGCTGGGCACGCCGCTGCCTGCTGAGGCACTGCCCACCGAGGGCCTGCCCCCCGGGCTGCTGGCACTGGGCGAGGTGGCTCGACCCCCTCTGGAGGCCGCCATCCAGGACGCAGTGGAGCTGGTGGCCCGGGCGCTGGGCAGTGCAGCCCGCACGCAGCCAGAGCACGCCCTCCTGCCTACTGCGGCCAGCTGCCAGGACCCGCAGCCGGGCGGGCCCAAGGCCACCAGCCGCCTCTTGGCCCGGTGAGTGGGGACCCAGCTGAGAAGGATGTGTAGCCCCACATGGAGTCGCCTCTGCCGTGGCGACAGGACTCGGCACTTACTGGACGCCAGGCTCTGTGGCCTCACGGGAAGGCACTTCGTCCCCATGGATGGGAGCAGAGCCTGAGAAGGGGTTCCAGCAGGGGGCTGACTGGGCACTCTGTGAGGGGCGGGAAGGCTGGAAAGGCAGGGGTGAGTCCGCAGACGTGTGTCCCCACCGGATCCCGGGGGAGCTGTGGAGGGCAGACGGCACCCTGGAGCCGGGCGGCCTCCCCAGTCCCACCGGTACAGAGCTCTGGTGCGAGGACACGACACAGTACCCTGGTCCCCGGTGTGTGCTGGGTGGGGAGGCTGGGTTTCGCTGGGACTCCTGCGGCCTGACGCCTGTCACCTCCTGTCAGGTTCCTAGGCAACACGTCCTTCGAGGGCCGCACGGGGCCAGTGTGGGTGACCAGCTCCTCGCAGGTGCACGTGGCCCGGCACTTCCGGGTGTGGAGCCTGCGCCACGACCCGCTGGGCGCCCCGGCCTGGGCCACCCTGGGTAGCTGGCGGGACGGGCGGCTGGAGCTGGAGCCAGGGGTCGCCGCCGTGCGGCCCCCACCCCCACAGGGGGCCGGGGCCCGGGCCAAGCTGCGCGTGGTCACGCTGGTGGAGCACCCG